TTAAACAACAAGGACATTACCTGTCATAAGATTCACTACTGCCAGTTGTCTCAATCAGAACATAAAAGTTATGCATTGAGGAAGGAAATGGATTACGGACACCTTCTAAATGTTTCAGGACCTGCTCCACATAACATAATAGATAATGCTGCATTAATCTACTGCCATGAAAGAGACCTAAAACCTTCAAAATAGTCGTCAAATGACCTCAATCTCAAACTTAAAAAACAGCTTAAGCACACAGTTGACAGGTAAGGAATGAAAAGCTCTGCACCAGAAACACTGCCGACTATGCAGCACCTGCTAGCTTACCATGCAATTTTGAATAACAGAGAAGTAACAATGCAGTTCATTAAGTTACTTCCACAAGGCTACTAAAATAGAATAGGAAAAAGAACTTGACATCGCTGGGTGATATGGGCAGGTGAGACTTGATGGATTAAAAAGAATACATAAAGCTCACCAGATCCATTGCATCATGATCAAGGAATTCAAATGCAGAAAGAATTTCCCCAAGTTTCCTCTTCGCGTCTAACAAAAGTTTCTGATGGCAAAGAGCATAGTTCATTAAGTAAAGCTATCATTTCAAGCAACTTAATAGCTGCATCATACTTGAGAGGGTAGAACCATTATTACCAGGCAGCTTGCATAATCTGTACAAGCAAGAAAGCACACATTTACAGAGGACAACTTTGGAGGAGTTAGTATGGAAACCTTTGTCACAATCCCCAAGGATCCTTCACTTCCTATGCCATGTAGAAAAATAAAATGTTTTATCACAATGTAAACCAACTTCAGCTGACACAGAATAAGCAAATTTAGTCTGTTCACCTATAAATAAATGTTTCAAGTCATATCCAGTGTTATCTTTTCGCAATGTGCCGAGCATATCAAGCACCGTTCCATTTGCTAAAACCACTTCAAGACCTGAAGAGATGAAAGTACATTTGAGAACAAATGCAGGAGAATAGACTTCACTATTATGGTTTTCAAGGACGGAAAGATCTTGAAAGGCTCATACATAGCCTTCTTCTCAAAAGAATGTCACAAAAATGGATCCTAAGATTATCTAACAGGGAAACAGGAGCTCTACGAAGAGATAGAACATGATTTTCCTAGTTGGTTAAATCTTTCATCAGCCCTATTAACCCACTCTTAGATTGATTTAGGGTAACAACTTCAACTCGAAATGTCATAACATAGCACATTCAGATCTTACCGAGGATGCTGCCATGCAGTGAACCATAGCGGAGAAGCCGCAAACCACCAGCATTGGTTGAGACATTTCCTCCAATTTGACAGCTTCCTTTAGCACCTAAATCTAGTGGCATAACAAACCTAAGAGAGAATGTGATTTGACATTTTATTTCATACGGATGCAGAACAGAAAGGAGCTTATTCATTGGCATCAGAAGAGCCAGTAAATAAATACCCAGAATAAGTTTATAAAAAGAAATGAACTAGACAGAAGACTGATGTAAGAAACAGGGCATAATCCTTCACTCTGGGTTTCTTTCTATTGTCATATAATAAAATTAGATGCTAAGCAAGTTTGGAGAAGATCAGTCAACAAATTGGTTAGATGGTAAATACAAAACTGTAACACCTCACTATGACATGTTAAGAATGCTTAGATTAGGTCAATGTGATAGATAATATTTCAGAGAGTTCACATGTAAATTAAATGAAGAAAGAATTTTTTAGGTCAGAATTTGCACATATTACATGACAATGAAGTATCCGAATGTGTTTTTCCAGATTAAAACTTAAAAAATTGTACAAGCAGGACTATCCAAAGGTAAAAATATCACTGACATGATTCATGTAGTAACTCCAAAAAGTGTAAGAAAGAAAAATCACCCTTGGTTATCAAGAAAAGCGATGAGATTTTCCAAAATGCATCCTGCCTCACAAACCAGTATGCCGCTAACCTGCAAAAAGATGTAAAGAGAACTTATTCTATCTGCATAAACTTTCTGCATTCTCAAGGACTCTTTCTTTCAGCAAATGCAACACTAACAAGAATAAAAATTAAAGAAGATCAGCAGAGTTACTTTTATCTTATCAATATCAATGATTTGATTCATGTAACTGATATTGACAATCACCTGGACATTTTCAAAATAAATTATCTTACCTTGTCGAAAGAAATGATTTTATTCATATGACTGGTACTAACAATCACCTGGACATTTTCAAAATAAAGAAAGAATAAATCAGTAATCAGATAAGATAAGACAACATATTTAAGTCAGAAAACTTTCAAAACATTCATAGCGAAAAGCTTATCCAGCAGCAGCAACACTAGTTATCGCAATCGGTCTATCAACTACTTCCCAATCATGAACCAATTGGGATCGCCTATATGAATCATCTATATCCTCTTCACTCTACTTATCCCCAAAATAAAAGAAAAACAAATCTAGTAGCAATGACACTGATGTTTAAAATGACATAGAGTTCAGCAAATGTGGATAATGTTTGATAGACGCCGATTACTACTAAGTACTATCCTTACCATTTCTAATACCTAAGATATTCTTACCTCATCAAAAGCAGGTACACTTCCTCCCACAAGACCTGTATTCCCCCCTTGAGGAACAACAGCTAGGCACCTGGAATTGCAATATTTAAGAATCTGAGAGACCTGTAGAACCAAAATCCAAGAAACCCAAATGGAAAACCAAAAGGTATATATATATTAGTATCTATATATTATCAATAAGGAGCTAAAGCTTCTGGAAGAGAAAGTGAGATTCCAACCTCCTCTGCAGACCGAGGTTGGAGCATGAGCTTACTGGTGCCCTTGTATTTCCTCATCCAATCCGTGTTCACAGCATCCAGTGTCTCCTCATCCTGAACTACCCCTCTTTCCCCTAATATCTTCTTGAAATAGCTCACGTCCTCTGAGCTAATTGTTGAAAAATCTGGTCTTCTCTGAATAATGGTGGCCTGAGAAGCAAAACATCTATACTGGCTTCTGCATCTGTACCACTGATTAATACCCAGAGATAGTGAGGGTTGTTTATATGTTTGAAATTCTTGTTGGTAATTACCAATATAAGGATTTATCGGCTCAGAAGGTTGGTTAAAATGATACCTACGACCTGCAAGCCATAAAAATGAAGGTTCTCAGTTAGCTTCATCAGAGAATCTTCAAATACACGTAACATTTAGTTCCACTTGGATTGATTTTCAGCTAAACCTTAATGTAACACCACTTTATTCATTGAACTGAGGAAACTCGCTAGATAACCACTGAAAGTTCTATCTCAACGATCTTTTCTTCAATCACTAACCCCAAAAACGCATTACTATAATTCTTTTGTTGTTAGAAATCACGAAAATTGAGGACAGCTCCACCAAGCAACCTTGAGCACAAGTAACGATTACAGCCGAATGATTGCAGTCTCTGAATCAGGACAGCTCCACATGGAATCATCAAATAACTACGTCTCAGTCCCCAATCAATTGAGGTCAACTATCAACGTGTTTGGTATAAGGGAAGTCATTTCTTGAAAATGTTTTCCATTAGGAAGCATTTCCTAGGAAAATGTTTTCCATTAGGAAGTCATTTCTGGTGTTTAGTGTGACAGAAGTCATACCCTGAGAAAACATTTTCCATCAAAAAGGGACTTCCCTCACTTATAGGTGAAAGTCATTTTCCTGACAACTATCTTAACTTTTAACTACATATTACTTATTGCAACTAAAACTTAGACATTATGAGAACAATTGGGGTCGGCTACTACATGAATCCTCACTGATCATGTTACTAAATTTTTTGTCAAAACTCTCCTGTTTGCTAATATTATTGATCTTTAAAATATATTTGCTCCGGAAAATATTTTCCACTCACCAACCAAACACCAGAAAACATTTTCCAGAAATATATCTTCCATGGAAAGCATTTTCCAGAAAAATATTTTCACGAAGAATGACTCTCATCATACCAAACACACTCTATAGGGATCTTCTTCACCCATTCCACTAAATACAGTTCAATTTCGCCGTTTGTCCTTGTTTGACTACTCATGGAATTAGTAGGATTGCTTCAATTATACGATTAACTGAGATGAATAAGAGCAATAAGAGTCCGTACCTGAGCTGCAAAAACGTTTTGAATTGTGAAAATTAGGGCTTGATCGGCCATGAAAAATGTGTTTGCAGTGTGTAAGTAAACGGTAGGTCGCTCTCAAGTCCTCCATTTCAGTAAATTGGCCTTGAGTTTTCAACCGCTGATGCTTTGCTCTGTAACCGGGGACTTCTACCTTCACAACTATTTCTTTTTTCTTTTTCCGGCAACCTTTACAGCTATTCACTTTTAAAGTACTTTAATCTTTGTAGTAATAAATTATTTCAATCAAACTAATTAGTGAAAAATTGTTTTTCTACGGAATATAAGGGATAATAACTCATAAAATTGCCGAGAAAAGAGTAATCATTTTGTTAATAATTGTTTAGTACCCATTGACCTCAAGATTTTTGAGAAATATTATATTTTCTAACAAAAAACTAATTAAATTAGAATATCAAATACAAATTGATAAAAATTTTATGATAAAGTTTTGGTATCATATTCTACTCCTTTTACTAATTTATAGTAGTTCCTTTCTGAATATAAATTTTCCGCATGCGTAATCTAACGTGTCAAGTATGATGAAGATATCTATTTGTGCACGTAGCTCTATGTGATATACTTATCTAATCTCTACTGGTCAATCGAACCATCATCTGTTAGTTAGAAAGGATCCAATTGAAAAACACTTATTTTCATGTGCAATTTGCATAAATAGCCACTTTAATGAAACTGTTTAAAACAATCACAAATTAAATTTTTTAACTAAGACTGTTCAAGTATTTGGACGAACCATAAGCAGTAATATTGCTCAAACAATCTCTTCTTATCTTATTAACCCATTTCCATGTGAATTTATAGACAATGCTTCTGGGAAGCTCACTCTGATGCCACTATATACAACAATATGACAACGAATAAGTAAAACAAAGAATTCTAGATAAAAATCTCCAATAAATACAAATTTCACATTTCTTTTTCTTTTCCCTGGACAAAACTCGAGCCTCTTGACCCTGCTGGGACATCACATAAGTTGAAGCCTCTCCTACATTCGTCTCTGTGAAAGAAGAAACGGCCACGCCTCCAAAAATCTTTTAGGTGGAACAGAAGCTAGCTTTTCTAACTATCTTTGACATATACAGAACGCGATTACACCAGCTCTAAGATATTTCAGTATATCAACTAAAGAAGTTACTAGTATCATGTCCAAAATCACAAATGTCAGCTAACTAACAGATTTGACAGTGGCTATAGGAATCAAACAATTCCAAGTGACTACACATGGATCAACTTCTTGAAACAGTACGTGCCCAAGAGAAACCAACCAATAAGAACAAACATGAAAATTACCAGGTACATAAGGAAAGTCCCTCCTCCAAATATGAGTCCTAAACCAAGCACAACGAGAGCGGGTAAATAGGTTTTAACAATAGATGTTTTATTTACCCAACGTCCCTTGAGGAAAATGAAAATGGCCAGGTTGACTACGTTCCATCCACCAGTCTGAAACCCCAACCTGTTTAAACCATTAGCTACAAAAGAGTGGCAGTTGCAAGTGAAAATGCTGTAAGACAGGTGTTGGAATTCTTGAATGCTCTTCCTCAAGGCAGCATCCCACGTGTCCACATGGCTTGCAGATTCATCATCGTTCTGGATATACTCACTTGTATGTTCAGCTGAATAAGGAGATATGCAGCAGCACTGTAGGCCATAAAAGGGACGAAAAGAAAGTGAATATATATCAGAACCAACCCGCCAAAAAGCAAAATAAATGAATCCTACGCAATCACATCATAAAGTTAATAGATCTGCTTGGATGGAAAAGCTGCAGATAGCACCTAGAACCTAAGTTGCTCGGACTCGGGTGCGGGTATCCGATACGGGGAAGGATCCGAGTATATGATTCGGCAAAATCTTGCGGATCCGTATATGGATACAGGTGCGGGGATTAGGTTAATAAAAAATAGAGCTATAAAAATATCGTAAATTTTGAGAGATATTATGTGAAAAACTTACATGAATGTTGTAGAATTTAATCTTCCATTCTCCAAGATGGACACTATTCTTTCATTGTCCTAAATCTGTTTTATTTTTATTTTGAGAAATCAAAATCTCAATTTTTCTCCCAAATTTGTCGATGGACTCCGATCAAAATCTCCGAAGTCAGTTGACCGAATCCGGGACGTATCCCGTCCCCGTCCCCGTATCGTATCGGGATGGGGACGGCACCAAAGTCGAAGAGTCCGCGCAACTTAGCCTAGAACAAGGGCACAACAACCCAGTGACAGCTTGATGATGTAACGACCCGACTGGTCGTTTTGGGTATCTGCACTTCCCTTGGTGTTTTGAGGGCTCAAGTATCTCCGCATGATGTATTATGACTTGTGTAAATTGTCGGTATTGGTTTTCGAGTTATCCGGAATCGATTTGGCAGAATGAACTTCAAGATTTGAGTACTGAGTTGGAAGAATTGACCAAGTTTGACTTTTTGGCATTTGACCTCGGAATGGAGTTTCTTCGGTTCCGTTAGCTCCGTTGAATGATTTTGGACTTAGGAGCGCGTCCGGATTGTAATTTAGAGGTCCGTAGTGGAATTAGTCTTGAATTGGCGAAAGTTGAATTTTTGGGAAGTTTGACCGGAGTGGACTTTTCGATATCGGGGTCGGATTTCAATTTCGGAAGTTGGAATAGTTCGTAATGGCAATTGTGACTTGTGTGCGAAATTTGAGGTTAATCGGAGATGATTTGGTAGGTTTTGGGCATCGGTTGTGGAAGTTGAAGTTTCAAAGTTCATTGATTTCGGCTTGAGGTGTGATTCATCGTTGTTGTCATGCGTGATTTGAAGCTTCAAGTAGGTTCGTCTTGTCATATGGAACTTGTCTGCAAAATTTAACGCCATTCGGAGTTGATTTGATAGGGTTCGGACGCTCGGTTGTGATTCTAGAAGTTCTTGAAGTTTAGTTTGATTTTCATGCGTTTTGGCGTCCGATTCGTGGTTTTAGAAGTTATTTTGATGATTTGAGCGCGCGAACAAGTTCGTGTTGTGTTTTTAGACTTGTGTGCATATTTGGTTTGGAGCCCCGAGGGCTCGGGTGAGTTTCGGATTGGTTTCGGAATGTTCTTGCATAGTTTTTAATTTCTGGTTCTGGTATCTTCGCATTTGCCTCGCATTTGCGAAGCCCGGGCGACTGGGCAGTTTTCGCATTTGCGATGAAGCAGCCGCATTTGCGAAGTTCTTGTCGCAAATGCGACCTCAACAGACATCCTTCAAGTTCGCAACTGCGATGTATTTTTTGCAATTGTGGTGTCGCAAGTGCGACATCTGCAACCTGTTAAGTGCTGAGAATTCGGAGTTTTTGCTTCATTTTTCATATTTTTGAACCCTAGCTTCGAAGTGGGGCGATGTTGAGAGGGGATTTTCATGCCAAATCATTAGGTAAGTATCTTCAATCAACTTCCAACTATATTTCATGATTTTATACAAGATTTAACATCAAATTCATGGGAAATCTATGAAAAAAATTGGGAATTTTGTCAAAGTTTTGAAAAATAAAAATTTGGGATTTGAGAGTCGGATAAGACTTGGATTTGAAAACAAAACACATATTTGGACTCGTGGGGCTATGGGTAGTCAGGACCTACCTTTGGACCCGGGGTTTGATCGGGCGGGCCCGAGGTTTGACTTGTGTTGACTTTTTAGAAATTGAATGAAAATCATAGCTTTATTAATTTAAATTGTTTTCTCTTGCATTGTGTGGTGTATTCAAGTCGTCATTGGCTAGATTGAGTCGAGCGGAAGCGAATTTGTAGAGGAAAAGGCTAAGTTGAGTATTGAGTTAGCCGGATCGAGGTAAGTGTTTTGCCTAGCTTTGTTGAGGGAATTTTTCCTCCTATTTGTCATTGTTTGCTACATGCGGGGGTGATACATATATAAGGTGATGAGCGTATATGTATGTGTCAGGGTTAATCGTGCTCGGGGGTGGATTATGCTATATGTGTTTGTAGAATTTCGTGACATTTTGCTTAATATGTTGACTCTTAAATACTAAGGATATAATATTAAATGAAGATATCAAGACTTAGTTTGTTATAACTTGATCAAACTTGATGAAAATTGTAAGAATACATTGATGTGTCTAATTTGGTCATCTTTATGCGAAATCATTTCCACATTACTACAACCGATATTCTTGAGATGCTAGACTCTATACTTGTGTTGTATATCATTTATGAGATTCGTGGAAGTATTTGAATAATACGGTTCTTGAGGGTTTTTGAACCACTGTTGACTTGGAAGGTTGTGGTTTGGAATATGTGTTTGGTATATCCGTTTAAGCACTCTCATCGATGTTATGTTTCCTGCCTTGCCATTTTATTGATATTCATATGCTTGGTAAGGAAGAGTGTAAAGCACGAAGGGTGATGCCGTGCCATTTTATATTCATTATCATGTGAGGAAGACTGTAAAGCACGAAGGGTGATGTCGTGCCATTTTATATTCATTATCATGTGAGGAAGAGTGTAAAGCACGAAGGGTGATGCCGTGCCATTTTATATTCATTATCATGTGAGGCAGAGTGTAAAGCACGAAGGGTGATGCCGTGCTATTTCATTTATATTGTTATGCTTGTATGTTATGGTGAGGTCATGGCACGAAGGGTGTTTCCGTGCAGGTGAGGACGAGGGACATGCATTCTGATGTGATATTTGTTTCCCGTGTATACGGTTGCGCCCTTACTTTGAAATGTTATTGTTGTATTTACATATTTGGTGTGAATTGTTGTTATTGTCCTGTACTTGTCTTTATCTCAATTGTTGTTGCACTGTCCATTTCTTTTACTTGCTTAACTTGAAATTACCATGTCTATTCCTGCTTTTATAATACTCATGTTGTATCTACTCTGTTGCACTTTAGTATAAGCCTTCCACCATGCTAGCCATTCATGCCTTTACTTGTCAACTTTTAAAGAACATGTGTTTTCTTCTTACTTGTTTGTACTTAGGCCTCCAATATGCTTGTTAATTGAAGTTGATATTCCATGTTTTCCAATTGTTGTTGTTGCTCACGTGCTTTCCGCTTAGTCCTTTACTGTGATCCACATGTGTATCCCCGTCCACTGTTGTTACTTGCGTATTTCCTACTTAGTAGTTCCTATTATTGTGTTCATGTGATATGGTTGGCACTGTCATATGATTACTTGGAAAGGTTGAGTTGAACGCACGAAGGGTGTTGCCGTGCTAATTGAATTGTTTCATAAATTTATTTATATATGGTGAGGATGAGATAAAAGCACGAAGGGTGTTACCGTGCCATGTGACTTGATATTTTGACATTTTAGACATATATCTCAAACCGGGAAAGATCGTAAATATTCTACTGTGGTTCTTTATAGTATTCATTGTCTGACTCGCCGGATTGTATTTGATACTTTTATCCATTATACTTTGAACTGCCTTAATGTTAATCTAATGTACAAGTTATTTAAATAAGCATCTTCTAACTAAAAGCCTCGTCACTACTTCGACGAGATTAGACAAAATACTTACCAGTACATGGGGCCGGTTGTACTTCTGCACGTCTCGTGCAGATTTTGGAGCGGAGTTGCTGGTGACGTCGGGTGCTGATTCGGAAGATGTTCGTGCGTTTGGATATAGCTGCCACTTGTCCTTGGTAGTTTAGATTATTGTTAATCTGTTTATGTAATCTTCAAACAGAACGTGTATTTATTTGTATCAGTTTCGAAATTCAAAATCTTAGAAGCTCGGATTCGTACTACCAGGTCTTGGTAAACTTGTAAAGGTTCAGTTAGCTATTCTCTATTTTCTTATTATCTCAGTTGTATTGTGTTGTTCATGTTAGTTGGCTTACCTAGCGGTTGAGTTAGGTGCCATCACGACTTGTGGTTTTTGGGTCGTGACAGATAAGATTAAGGAGATCCATGAAGGACAGAGCACATTACAGCAGGCAAACATACCTGTTCTCTGCTTACTTGGAAATAGCGAGTTGGTGCCCCAAATGTGAAATTGTCTACAGAAACGAAGTTTGGCCCTGCAAAGTCCAAGATTATGCCATCCTCCCTACAAATCCCTATATGCCCAATAAAGGGGATAAACCATGACAGGACAGGAAGTGGTGACCATACGATGCAGCATGGAAAGCGATCTCTTTTTGGATCAACTAGCATGGTATCCGCAAAATTATCTTCAATCATCAGAGCATGATCTGGATCTACCTCAGGTGCCATTACCAGAGCTTAAACACTGGATCACAAGAACAGAGCACCCAAAAAATATTACAATTCATATACGAATGCATTCACGTATGTCTAGTTACAACTTATGGTCTACACTATCCAAAAACATGTCTCGCAGCAAAATCAAGCTCTTACGGAACACAACAAACCAACACTGCACCGTGCCAGAATACACACAGCTTTAACATTCCATCAGCATGATAAATACATTTCCCCACATGTCCAGCAACAAAAGATGTAATGTGCTCAAAGAGTTGCCTATCTTCAAGAAAGTGTTCAAGCTAATTATCTCAAATAAGTCAAAAATCCTGCAAAGCGTCACTAGAACTAGCTTGAAACATGAAACGAGTTTCCTTCAGCTAGTACATTGAACCCTCTTTTGAATTAGCAATGGTATACACGTAGTGCTGGAATAACTGTCACTGGTAAAAGAAAGTGCATATGTAACTACAAAGAGTAGAAACTTGCTACAGGCACTAATAAATTGTTGAAATGTATGAAAGAGGGTTCAGTGGTTTGGCAATACCAAATCAAGTGTAGAAGCAGAGGCTGATCTAGCTTTCTAAAATTGGCCCTGAGTCAATGGTGGAGCCACATGTAATTAAGGAGGATTCAATTGAATCCCCTTCTCTCGAAGTTATATTGCGTAAATATGGTAAAAACAAAGTTTCTATACATATCTAGAATTTTGAATAGAGAAACCCTAAAAATAAGAGAAATATAGATTTAAATCCCAATTATCACATATTTGGACCTCTTTGAATCCTCTCGTCAGAATTCCTCTCTCTGCCACTGCGCTTTAACAAGCCTTCTGCAGCGCCTGCGACTGTTTTGGCACAGATTACATCTATATGCTTAAAGAAAACAGATACAAAATAAACAGCAACCACTTCAAATTCACTGATTCTAAATCCTAGATCCGCCTACCTATAATAGGCACATTCACCTAAACCGACAATATCTCTCATATATAGCAAGAGAAACTAGGCAATGTAATTCTTTTGAAACAGATAAAATACTAAAACCATCTTAACTGACTTATCGTCTGAACCATATTCCATCTAGTACATAAAACCGCTCCAGCACAAGCAATATTCAATTTTTAGCTACCGGTAATTGTTGGGATCACAATTTAAGTTTTAAAGTATCCACCTGTAATAGGTTTAGCGGAAATTGTTGAAGATTGAGAAATGAAAGCCCTAATTTCTTTCTCCGATCTAAAACTGCATGATTGGACCAATTCTCTTAGCCACTATCAGACTGGATAAATAGGTGTTTATATTCAAAATAGAAAGCATACCTTTGGCACGAAGAGGAATGGCGCTCGAAGATATGAAGGAGCTTCTGTGGATAGACCGGAGTTTGCCAATTTTCACAAATCGGGATTAATTTTAAATTTGTGTTTCTTGGGTTAATTAAACTAAACACCCCTATAATATGACTCCATTGCGGATACATCTCATGTATTTTAGAATCAAGCACTTACACCCTCTATATTATGAAAATTATACGTTCACGCCCCATTATGAAGTATATCCACGGATAACTATATTAAAACATGTAATCTTTACTCCGTTTGTTTTAGTTTATGTGAACCTTTTCGGAATACGAAGGTTATATTAACTAATCATTTGCGTGAATTTTGAACATAAAATTTACATATTAGAAACTACATAAAAAATACTATTAGTCACAATTAATAATATAAAATATTAAAAATTATTTTCCAATTATTTGCAAAACGAAAACCATATTTGACTGTTCAAATAGTAATCTATATCTATACTATATTAAAAGCACGAAGCCCCTTAGTGAAATGTCGTTCGCCTTTTTTACCCTTTAAAAGTAAATTTCACATTGGATAAAATAGTCATTTAATTAATTCCTAATATTTAGAACTTTAAAATTGACTAAAATTCTAATTATTAATCTTTCCTTATTTGAGGTAGATAAGAAGTTCTAAATTTTAGGGCTTTAAATCAATTGGTATTTTACCATACATAAATTCTTTCCGTGTTTGAACTCTATAAAATACTTATATTAAACTAATATGTGTGTTTTAACGATATTAAAGTAATTAATAGATCATACAAATTTTATGCCTAATATTTAAAAGTTCACGTATTTAGGACTTTAAATAAGTAATATAAATTTTCCATGTTTAGTTCTTGTAGAAGTTGAAAAATGTCAACCACGAAAGATGAGTAAAAGTACTATTTTTGCAAATTTTGTTCTTGTAAAAGTTATGAAAAATCAACCACGAGATCTTGAAATATATAACAAGAAAACTTTATCATGGATAAAAGGTGCAAATTTATGTGTAAAAATAATGGTTAAATACTTTTAAAAAGTTATCCCCTTTTCTTCGTACTANTGCAAATTTATGTGTAAAATAATGGTTAATACTTTAAAAGTTATCCCTTTCTTGCACCTAATTTTTTTTATTAAATATGACTTTAAAACCGATTAATATTTTTTTTTATCTTACATGAATTATTTTTTTATTTGAATAATGTAATGTAATCGTAATTCTTTTCATGTTATTATATGTGAACTATAATAGTTCATATTATATTTGAACTACTTTTCTCTTCGAACAATATTTTTCTATTTAGTAAATTTTTATGTATAATATCTTTAAAATTACACTTAATAATTAAAACAAATGACATATAATATTTGAAAATATAGAAGATAAACAGAGAGGAGGCGAGAGAGAGAGACTAGAATAGTAGTATTTGGTAACACTCATGATTCTGCAAACACAAATATCCAAAAATAAAAAAAAAACAAAGTAACCCTTATTGAGATTACGAGCCAATATCAAGAATTTGAATCAATAAAAAATAAATTATTTCCTTATTGAGAACAAAAATTTAAATGTTTGAATTAACTAATTAACAAAATAACGCCAGCCAATTCTTTTCTAAATAGAAAAAATCAAGTTGACTATTAGAGTACACAAAGTTGGTTTTTTTCAAAAAAAAAAAAAAAAAAAAGAGCAATTTGTGGTTAAAGCAATCAAACAAATAAAACAGAATCGATGATATAGTATCAAGAGCCAAATTAAAATAATACAAACTTGAAGTAATAAGGATGAAACAATTGAATATAATTTATTTATTTTTCATTTATGTTTTCTCTCCTTTTGCTTTTGTTACAATAGATGATAGCTCCATATATCTTTTACATTATCGTTAGAGAATTTTGTATTTTTATTTTCTTGATCAAGATCGTTAACGCTCACCATATCTCTCTTCAATCATGATAAATATTATGAGAATTCTTTTATTTTTTAAAATACTTTTATCGTCTTTGTAAGTTTAGAATATAGTGGAAGCAATTAATATGTCAAGGTATAACATTACTTTTTTTAGCATTTAAGAAATTGTTGCACTTATTTTAGCATCAGCTGCTATTTTCAATAATTTGTGTTTCTTATGTATTCTCTCTTTGTCAAATTATCTGTTATGTTTCTCTTTTACCCGCCCCTTAAGAAACATTACTTAGGTGGGGGATTGGAGTATGTTACCCTTATTTATGTCTTAAAATATAGTCTCTCTTCATGGAATATTTTTTTTTATTTATGTGTTATGTCCATCGTCAAGAATAATTATTATTAAGGGTAAAATGGAAAAATATAATTTATTTTATCTTGAACTTCTAAAATGACAAATAATTTGAGACTATTATTCTTAGAAAGCACGACAAATAATTTGAGACGGAGGTAGTATATTTTTATTGATTAGCGCGAGCCACACGTGCAACGCACATACACAAAAATTAGTAGACTCATATAAAGTGGAACAGCGGGACGATAAATTATATTATGAATAAACCTCTTTATAAGAACCTAAATTTATAATGACGTGTTCTTCGATTTCAACGGAGTATATAGTGTTTGTATTGTGAAATCGATTATTATGTATTGAGTCCGTAGAACATGAAATATTTTTTGTCTTGTTTAGAAGATGGTCGAGCTTTCAATTGGATTGTATTCCGATTCCATTATTAAGTATATATGATATTTAAGTTCATTATTATAAAACAAAATAAGGAAAAGTGACATAGAAAAGTTTTAAATATTAGGTTTGAGCAAATTAACATGAATAAATTATAGTTAAGCTAGATAATTCAAATAAGAAATAAAATAAAATCTTAATTGATATTAAAGCCTTAAATATTAGATTTTCTTACATATTCAGATAAGGAAAGATTCCAATTAGGAGTGGGCGTTCGGACAGTTCGGATTGAATTTACAATTTCAGTTTGGATTTTCGGTTTTCGGATTAAAGAAATGGCAATCCAAATCCAATCCAAATAAGCTCGGATTGGATCGGATTTTTTAAGTTCGATTTTGGGTTAATCAGTTTGGACATTTTGGATTTTCGATTTTGAGCTTATAAGTTGAGATGTTTCTTTTTTTTTTTTAACAAAAATGAATATCTAAATAAAGTACTCATGTTAAATTGCATGAAATGTTCCTCATTCTCACCGCAATCATCTAAATAAAGTTTCAAGTAATAAAATTATTATCAAGGAGATGCAACATAGACATAAATACGACTGATAAGAAGTATCAATAGCAAAACCATATCCAAATAGAAAATATTCTGACAGTAATTTAGTAATTAATATTGAATATATGAGATAACATCTAATAGGGGTATTGAACTTATTACTACTAGCATATGGATGATGGACTAAATATAAAGTATAAAATTTTGGATTTTCGGATATCCAAAAATCTGAAGTACCAAATCCAATTTTCAATCTGAAATCCAAAATTTTAAAAAATTAAATCTAAATCCAATCCGTAATCCGAAAATCCAAACCAAAAATCCAAAAAATTTGGATTTCGATTTGGATTTCGTCCAATAATCAAAATTTTAGTTCATTTTAAAGTAATACATAGGCAGACATTTAAACTTGTGGATTTTTTATTTAGACACCTAAAGTAAGCTCATGATCTATCAATCATCTAAATTACCCTCAAACTACGCCTATTGAGCACATATTTCACAATTGTAGATAATCTATTGGGCGTGAAAGCCACTTGCTCTCATGTGGCAAAATATAACCAATGGTAAAAAGACACCTCAATCAAGAAAAAAAAAATCAAAATCTTAAAATAAGAAAATAAAATAAAATCCACCAGGCTTGTGAACCACCGTTGTAACGACCCGACCGATCGTTTTGTGTAATTGTGCCCCTTTTCCCCTTTTGATACTTCACACATGTGTGTTTATGGTTTTATGACTTATGGAGTTGATTAGATTCGTTCCGATAAGATTTCGGGTTGATTTAGACCCTTTGGTTCTTGACTTAGAAGCCTAAGTTGTTTATGTTGACCAATGGTTGACTTTTGTGAAAACGATGCTGGAATGGTATTTGAATGGCTCCGATAGCTTCACGACATGATTTTAGACTTGGACGTATGTCCAGAATCGAATTCGGAAGTCCGTAGGTTGATTTTTGTTGTTTTGCCGAAATTTGGCAATTTGAAGTTGAAAATTTAATCGTAGGTTGACTGTTAGCTATCGAGTTTGGAATTTAATTTTGGGACTTGGAATAGGTCTGTTGTGCTATTTAGAACTTGTCTGCAAAATTTGGTATCATTTGGAGTTGAATCGATAGGATTCAGACGCTTAGTTGCAATTCTAGAAGTTCTTGAAATTTACTTTGAAATTCTTGCGTTTTGGTGTCTGATGCGTAGTTCTAGATGTTATTTTTGTTTCTGATTGCGCGAGTGAGTTCGTATGATATTTTTAGACTTGTGTAGATGTTTGATTTGGAGCCCCGAGGGCTAAGATGAGTTTCCTACATGATTATATTCAGAATGATTTGAACTGAAAATGAAATTGTTAGTGTGCTGGTGCTCATTTATCGACAATGCGAGCACCAGCCTCGCAATTGTAAAGGAGGCAGGGGGTGGTCAGATGTCGCAAATGCGACTTCCTCTTTGCATTTGCAAAATCAGCAGGCCTGAGGGTTGGTTCGCCATTGTGATTATTTGGTCGTATTTGCGATAGTGGCCACCTTCGCAATTGCGACTTTGGTTGAGGCTGTCAGGGTTCGCAAATGCGATCCCTGATTCGTTATTGCGAGGGTTTGCAAGTGCGAAATGTGTCGTAAATACGACATTTGCAGCCGGTCATAAGGGCAATGAAGTCGGGATTTCACCTTATTTCTCACATTTTAGAACCATAGACTCGGTAGGAGGCGATTTAGAGAGTGAATTTTCATCTACAAACATTGGGTAAGTGATTCTAATCAATTTCCAACTATATTTCATCAATATATCTTAAATTTAACATCAAAATCATGTGAATCAAAGAGCAAAAATTGGAAAATTTTGTCAAGTTTTTGAAAAATGAGAAATCG